TAGTGCAGAGACGGTTTTATTTAGGGAATGCAGGGGCTCAGTTATGCTGGAAGTCTCCAGAGCTTAAAGACGACCTGCAGAGTTTTGTCAGAATCCTGAGTGAGGTGAAAAACTAGTTTGTCTTTTCCCTTGTGGTGCAATTCTTCTGCTCTGATTAGCTGTCAGATCTCCTGAGTGTTCTGTTTGCTTTGGCTGCTTCAACAATGAGTCCGAGTGCGCGAGGACAGCGTTGTGAGGAGGAAAACGTTGGATGTTTTCCTCCTCTTTAGATGGCTTTTGCTGAAGAGGTCTTAAAGGGATTTAGATGGGGATGAGTCCTTAAAGCGGAGGAATAGGTTTCCAACTTGAAGGGCTTATTGTTGTCTGGCTGGAGCGTGCCTTTTGTTCAAGTACAGACTTTCAAAAATAAAAATAGTTTAAAAGTTGTGGTGAGTAGAAGACCTGTATGGACTGAAACGGCAGGAGCAGCAGTGCAGAGCGTTTGGCTGGTGGGACAGCATCTCTGCTTGTTTAAAAGTTGTGCTTCCTTGGGGCAGAGAAGAAAGAGACTGCTTAGAGGCAGGCCATTATTTTGGGATTTCCCCCCTCGCCCCACAGTCACAACCTTTCAGAAATATTTTAGGTTTGGGACTTGAGTTGGGGAAGCTTTCCTCTCTTTCTTGAAAGCTTTTGTATGTGTTCAGATTTGATGTGACATCTGGGCACGCTAAGAGGAAGTGGGGGGTAGGGAGAAACGCTGGAGAAGTTTCTTTCCCTGCCTGTGCATAATTAAGGAGCATGCCTCCTGGGAACGGGGAATAAAGGCACCCCAGGCCCTGCCACGAATTACATGACTTACTGCGGGACTCAAAGTGGGCTTGACAGTTGCCAGAAGGGCGGCGAGTTGCAGCCACCTCCAGGCAGCAGGGCTGGCTGCTGGGAGCCGGGCAGGAGAGCTGGGAGCAAAACGAGGCCCAGCAGAGAAAGGTCTGTGCCTCAGGACAGGCTGACCCCACCAAGCAGTGTTGTGGCTGAGCCTGAGGAACAGGACCAGCCAGTAGAACAGGAAGCTTGGCAGAATGGAGGCATCCCAATGTGGGACTGTTGCGTGAAGGTGGAGAATGGGAGTAATTTTTTTGCACAGACTGTCAGGTTTTGTGCCCTTTGGAAGCAGGGAAGCCTGTGGCAGCCACAGAATGCCACATCTGAAATCAGACTCCTGGCAGAGGATTACAGCTCTGTGTAACTCAGAACTGGCAGTGCAGAATTTTACTGTCTCCCTGTGTACAGATGTTGTAAAATACAAGAGTGAAATATGTTACAATTTAATTGACCATGACAATATATCTGTAATTCCAGGTGATTTATAGCACTGTGTGCTACAGAAAACTGCTCTCCTTTGGTGAAGGAGGCAGGAGGGCAGAGAAGTGCAAATGAAGATCCAAGGTTTAACAAATAAAACGAGGGTGGGAAAGTTTCTGAGACAAACAGTGCTGTGGTGAGGTCCCTCTGTTATGGAGAACAGTGTTCTGAGAAGTGCAGTGAAGCTGTGAGGGGTCTGGAGCACAAGTGTTAAGATGAGTGGCTGAGGGAGCTGGGATCATTCAGCCTGGAGAAGAGGAGGCTCAGGGGAGACCTGATTGCTCCCTACAGCTGCCTGAAAGGAGGTGTGGTGAGGTGGGGGTCGGCCTGTTCTCCCAGGTAACAGTGATAGGATGAGAGGGAATGGCCTCAAGCTGTTCCAGGGGATGTTCAGGTTGGGCATTAGGAAGAATTTCCAAACAGCAGTGATGCAGTGGCACAGGCTGCCCAGGGAGGTGGTGCAGTCACCGTCCCTGGAGGTGCTCAAGAACCACGTGGATGTGGCACTGAGGGACGTGCTCAGTGGGCATGGGTTGCTGGTTGGATAAAGTGATTTTAGTGCTCTTTCCAACCTTGGTGATTCTATAATTCTGTGAATGCGCACAGTCTTGCTGGCATACAGTGGTGATTCTTGCATTACACAAGATTACATGGAACCCAATGCGTGCATCTCCTAGTTGAGAGAATGATTGAGGCCACAGATGAAAACCAACTCCTTGACTTCCCACTTTGCTGTAAGGATGATAGATGGCTTGGGATTTATTTCTTCAGCACTAAAAAACTGTCTTTCATTTTTGTGAAATCAGAGTGGAGCTGGACGGTCACTGATAAGCTGAGGTCTTTGTATTTTGTGCTAGTGGCTGGTTTATTCCCTTCGGGTACTACTTTTAGAATAAAATGTACTTAGACTAACAAATTTTTGGTTTTTTTTTTGTTGTTGCTAACTTGCAGGGAATAGTAGTGATTACTTTGTTTTTAAGTTTTTTAGGTACATGTAGGAATTCAGTAATTCCAAGTATTTTCCCTTGAATGTACAATAATTTCAACTGAGAACTAAATACTAATGTAGTGGTGTTGTATGGCTTTTAAAACGAATCTGTAGGTATATATTTGTATATAAGCATTCATTTGACATCTTCATATGTGACACAAACAGTTTTTTATTGCTTTTATCGTGTACCAATCGAGTCTGAAATGTTGCTGTGTGAAAATGAAAGTAAATCTCTAGAATTACTGAGGTCATCCTAAGAGTGTAGTGATGGACAGCATGCTCTTTGCTCCTGCTTCCAATTCTTTTTGTACTCTGTGTAAAGTAATGCTAGCATGTCTTTATCTGGATTTGCTGGACGCTTGTTAAAGAAGAAATTTCACAGCTGCATTTGACATCACCGTATATTAACACATTGTCTCACCCCTTTTCTTTTCTCCTGCAGGTGCTCAATACTTGCCTGTAGTGCTTATGTGGCTCTGGCTCTGGGCGATAACCTTATGGCACTGAATCATGCAGATAAGCTCCTCCAGCAACCGAAGCTGTCAGGGTCTCTGAAGTAAGTCTGATGTCATCGTTTCTTCCTCTTTTTTGCTGGAGAGCTTCTGAGCTGGAGCTTCTCATGTCTGCAGTGACAGTATTATGATGATGGTAATAACGGTACTTGGCAAAATTGGTAACGTATAATGTACAGGTGGAGAGCATTTTAACTTGTGCCAATTTTAAATGCTGGAGGCAGCATATTCTGGAATGTTCTGTATCAATTAGTTTCTATGTCCATCTTCAAACTACTGTGGAAGCTCATCCTTTTGCATTGATTAAAGCAGCAGTTTAGATAAGTTTGTAAGGTAACGTGTAGTTTTCTGCAGTGCTTTTTTAATGCAAGAAATTCAAGACTACAGTTGTTTGCAAAAATAAAGCCCTGGATCTTGGTGCCAAGAAGCAAAGCCTCTGTGTAGGCTGGAGCACTGAACTGTTCCTCTTAAGTGACACATAGGTTAGTTACATGTAAGAAGTTACTCTTGTTTTAGCAGATCTCACTTGCAGAAGTTTTTTTGAGTGATGCTTTTTAATAATTCATTACAGTCAACTATAAAGTTAATTTGAAATGTACATTATACAATCGCATGCTCAACTTTTGTTTCAGATTAAAGCTTAGTAAATTAACAGTGCTGTGAGTCAACAGGACTCCAAAGCTGCTGAATAGCCAAGCTACTGCTGGCTAGCATCAGGCTTGCTTAGTTCTGTGGTAAAGACTTGTGTTTGGAAAGCTGTTTGTGCCCTATGGACAGGCCTGCAGATACGTGGTGTCCTCGGGATCTTACCATGCAAATATCTTAGAGAATTAATTATTATTGAATGCTTACTTAACACCTCCAATTATAGGTGTCTTGGTATCCAAGGGGTGTTTGTGTAAGCATTCATTTTTTCCTTCTTGGAAGAAAAGCCATAGTAGTGTCTGTCCAGAGCGTTGGGCCATGTGTACGAATTGGTTCTCAGAATTCACTGGAGTCAGAATGGAGCATTATGGCAATACTTTACAAGCAAACTAACTTTGTGTATATTTATTAAGTAGTAGCTTTCAGGTGGTTGAGTTAAAGTCTGAATTCAGTTTGTTTTTCGTAAGAGTGGCAAATTTTGAGGGTTGCCATGCTGACACACCTGACTCTTTGCTGTTGTAGGTTTCTTGGGCATTTGTATGCAGCAGAAGCTCTCATCTCTCTTGACCGAATATCTGATGCCATCACTCACTTGAACCCTGAGAACGTCACTGATGTTTCCCTTGGGATCTCCTCAAATGAGCAGGATCAAGGTTAATGAATCCATACTTCATTAGAACCAGTTGTGCTATCAGTTGCCTTCCTGCTGTAACTGTTACGTAAATACAGTGATGATGAAGACACCTCATTTTAAGACCATAACTTGTTTGGGGCTTGTTGGTTGGTTTGCTTACAGAGCTAATTTTCTTACATTGCTTTCTGTTGGTAATACTTGTGTTCTGAAGCAGAAAAATATGTCAAGGGCTCACCTGTATGGCTAAGACTGCAGTAGCTTTGATCTCAGTAATGCCTGCAATTTGAACTTCATTGTTCTCATCTGCTAAAGACCAAAATGTTTTCCCCTTCAATGACAGACCAAAGTAAAAGCGAATTTGTATCTGCTGGTCTGTGACAAATGAATTTTGTAATGATCTTGAAAAAGCTGTCAGAAAATGATGTTTTGTGTTTTGGTTTTTTTTCTTTGTAGGGTCTGACAAAGGAGAGAATGAGGCGATGGAGTCTTGTAAGTACCAGCCAGCATATTCAGCAGGGCATGGGAACTTCTGTGGGTGGTTCAGAACAAAAGTTTTAATAAAAGGATAACTTACTTTACTTGCAGCTGGCAAGCAGACCCCCCAGTGTTATCCCAGCTCAGTCACATCTGCACGGACAATGATGCTGTTTAACCTTGGAAGCGCTTACTGCTTGCGGAGTGAATACGACAAAGCTCGGAAGTGTCTCCACCAGGTATGGGAGGAGAACCTCAAGTGGCTTTAGGGACAGATGCGCTCCCTACAAAGTGTCATTTAGATCACAGCAGATCCTGGTGATTTCATAGCTCGTATCTGTTGACTTTGCTGAGATGGTGGCTCCATTCTGCCTTCATGAACTAATCTATATTAGTAATATAAAGGAATTCCAGAGTTGTTCTTGTGTGAACAGTTCAGTACTGTTGGTTTTTTTTTTCCTAGGTTATTTCAAAACAGCAGGATACAAAGGAGCCTTTTCACTTTTCCTAAGGTTTTGTTTAATGGTTTGATAGTTATTGTTGTATTCTAGAAAATAAACTTCTCAAGGGCTTTGGCTCCATGTGCAGGGACTAGTCTGGGGGCTGGTGGCGGCACTCAGCAGAGTTGTGCTGTTCTGAAGCTCAGCTCAGGACCCAGCTCAGCTGGAGCACAGGGATGTGCCTTCAAGCCAGCTGAAATCAGTGCTGTGCCAGTGCAGTACATCAAGAGTAGGAAGTTAGATATGGTGTTTGTGTAGAAGACAGCATCATTAACTTTGTAGGTGAAAAATATTAGTATATGGAAAACTTATGATGTTCCTTATTAACTTTGTGTTCTGAACTTCAGAGCAGTGGAGGTTACCTTCACCTCTCAGCAGGAAGTTGCAGGCTGGCCCAAGAATGACAGACTCACACTGACAGAAGCATACAGCAGATGGTGCTACTAATTAGAGTGAAGCAATCTAGCAAGGCAGACAATCTTTCAGTCTCTCCTTGCAGGAATAACCCGAATGGAATGTATTGGTTTGAAAAACCTTGTGTTATGAAGGATTCCATTTTGTTAGGCAAGGTGGCCAGGGTCTGCTCAGGGGGCACTTTGAGCTAAGCCTTTCTCTTAAGCACTTGTTCTCCCCACCCCTTGTGTTTCAATAAGGCTGCTTCGCTGATCCACCCCAAGGAGATCCCTCCGGAGGCTATCCTGCTGGCCGTCTATCTGGAGTTACAGAATGGTAAACAATTTTATTCTTTTCTTGACATGAAACAACGTAATATGTAGGCTGCAGTGTTGAATGCAACTTTTGGCATCTTTATCATCTTTCCTTGAAGCTTACGCCTAACAGAGGCAAAGTTGTAGAATACATCTGTAACATTTTAAAATGTTCTCAGTCCAGAATTGGGGTTGAGCTGACATCAGTTTTGCCAGGATTCTGGCAAACCCTTCAGATGCTGTCTCCATTTTACACTGCCACGGATCTAGCTATGGATTGTTCCCCTATATTCAGCACTCGTGAGGCCGCACCTCGAGTACTGTGTCCAGTTTTGGGCCCCTCACTGCAAGAAAGATATTGAGGCCCTGGAACGTGTTCAAAGGAGGGCAACAAAGCTGGTGAGGGGTCTGGAACACAGGCCATATGAGGAGAGGCTGAAGGAGCTGGGAATGTTCAGCCTGGAGAAGCGGAGGCTCAGGGGAGACCTCATTGCTCTCTATAACCTCCTGAAGGGAGGTTGTAGTGAGCTGGGGGTCGGCCTCTTCTCTCGTGTCATTAGTGATAGGACCAGGGGGAATGGTTTCAAGCTACAGCAGGGGAGATTCAGGCTGGACATGAGGAAGTATTACTTTTCAGAAAGGGTGGTCAGGCACTGGAATGGATGCCCAGGGAGGTGGTGGAGTCACCGACCCTGGCGGTGTTCAAGGAAAGACTGGATGTTGTGTTGAGGGACATGGTTTAGTGGGAGCTATTGGGAATAGGTGAACGGTTGGACTGGGTGATCTTTTAGGTCTTTTCCAACCTTGGTGATTCTATGATTCTATGATTCTGTGATCCATGCATCTGCACCCTCATGTCTATGCAACAATTGCTTGCAAACACATGGGGTTTTCTTCTGTTTGAGTTAGTTAATCTTCTTGGTAGAAGGGAGGGGATATTGGTATTTGGCTGGCAGTTCCTGCTGCTAGGCCTGCACAACCCTTCGTACATGCAGCTGTCTTCCTAACTATACATCTTGTGAACTGAAGTTTCTTTGTGCTTTGTGCAGTAGCCAGCAGTCCTGGAGAGTTTCAGAAGCCTGTAATGGAGTACTCTAGCAAAACTCTTAACTTTGATAGCTCTCTTCCAAATCTGTCCTTCTCATGAAAGCAGTTCAAAAAAAGAAAATCGATATATAGGGAGCAGAAAATCTTGCACTTTGTTTGGACTGCTCAGTGCCCTTGGTTCCCTTTTAGGGGATCCCTTCAGGTGTCTCGCATCACAGGGATGCAGGGGACTTGAGCATTTGTGTTCTGAATGGAGAAAGATGTTTCCAAGTTGGAATTCTGGAAGTGTTTCCTTCTGTAACAAAGAAGCACGAAGTGGAAGAGGGTACCAAGTTGGGTTTACCTGTCACATCCTCTTAAGTATAACCTAAAGGGTTTACACTTTGTTCTGTAAGTGGCAACAGAAAGGCCCTTTTGAAAATAAAACTTCAATGACAGTGATGTATTGGGTAAGGTGGCAAAATATTCTTCGCTGTTTTTCTCCTACAACTACAGGAGTTTTAACAAAGCTATTTTTTTCCAGTTATATTGCTGCTTACTTGCTGAGCTATACATAGCAAAAAATGACTCTTCAGAACGCACTTCAGAAGGGGCTCTGCACCTTCCAGCTCAGAGATTTAGCTTGACGTCTTCTGCTCAGCATCAGTAGAATCGAGCACTGTGCTTGTTTCAGACTTCAGTGCTTTTCATGTCTGTGTCAGCTCCTCGCTGAATGCGAAGTGTGCTTGTGCCTGGGTCCAGCTGCAGGCCTGACCTGACACCACAGCTCAAGAATCGCTGCTCTCACGGCAGAGCTGTTATTGCTGTTTTCAATTGCAGGTAACACTCAGCTGGCGTTGCAGATCATCAAGAGAAACCAGCTTCTCCCTTCAGTGAAAACGCTCTCAGACATGCGGAAGAAGCCCGTTTTCCAGCCGGTCCACTCGCTCCAGCCCATTCAGATGCCGACTTTCACCGCTGTGCAGAGGAAGTGAGGGTCTGTTGAGCTCGCTGCTGCCCTTCCTGGGAGGGCTGGGGATTTTGTATATTTTTTTAACCTCGGACATCTGCATACCCGGATTGCTGGAGTGTGTTCCTTTATGTAAATTTTTAATAAAACACTTAAATGTCTCCAGTCCTGCCGTCTTGTCGGTAAAGGTTATTTTATAATGGAACAGAGGTTGGGATCCGTTTGAAACATGAATGGCCTTTAATGGGGCAAGTGGTGCAGTTAACTAAGTGTGTAATCTCTGCTGTTTGAAGGGATGAGATGGGAGGGCAGTAAATCTGAGGGAAACACTGTTTATCTGAAGTTATGCTGACACAGCAGTTGTGCAGTATGGGTGCAGTGCATTTTCACCTAGAGGGGAACATTTATGGGTATGGCTGTGACAGACAATGAGCACAAAGGGGAATTTGTACTGAGTCCTGCAAGCAGTGTGCCTCTATTTTGATTTCTGTCTTCTGATTTCTTTTTTCCTGCCTTTTCTGCTCAGACCAACATAAGACATCAATAGTAACAAGGACCATTTGCTCACTTATTTATTGTGAACATGGGTAAAGAGCTGAGGCCTCCAACCCCGAGGAAAGTGAACCAGGGCTCGGCATGGCATGTAGCTATTTCCCCTGCCCCCTCTCTGCCCAGTTTGTGCTGTTTCAGCTGTTCTGAAACAGCCTGGGAGAGCTGGGATCCCACCTTATCTATTTGCCGGTGTGCTCGCTGCTGGCACTGCACTTTGCCTCTGGCCCCCTCGGGGCACACACACCAGCAGGGAAGGTCACAGAGCCGGGCAGCTGCTGGGGAGGGGGAGCCTGAAAGTCCTGCTCAAAGGAATGTGCATGTGAGCTCACTGCAGTTGGGTACTGGGTGTCCCATGTTTGCCCCCAAGATGTTGAATGGGAAAAAAGCCACAGCTGCTAGAAAAGGTACTGTGTAAGTCTGTTAAACAAGGTGCAGCGTGGCTACATGCTTCTCTCCCTTCATGTTGGGTAAAGGCTGATGCAGTGCAGTAGCACGCTTTGCCACAGCCTCTCCCTTTGGGGAAAGGGCAGCTCTGAGTCTTCCTGAGGCTGTCAGAGTGCTGGATCAACAGGTATGTCACATTTCAGCCAGTTGGTGCAGGAGTGGCACCGACACTGTCCCGAGGTAGGGAGGAGCAGTCCGGGTTTATCAGTATCACCCACACTCTGTAAAGAACAGAGCCCCATTGCCGATGCATGGTTCGTGTCAAAGTAGATTGACCGATTCAGTACAAAAAGGTCCGAGCCGCTTGCTGTGTGGTCCCACGTCCTGAATGGAGAGGATTCTTCCCGGCCCTTCCCAGCCCCCCAAGGAATGTGGCGCATTCACATGCAAAACCGCAGCGCGACGCCCGCAGGCACGCAGCGCTGCCCCGACTGGGGGTGCGGCCCGCCCCCCCCCTCCCCCGCCCGCACGGAGCTCTCATCGCAGCGCCCTTCAGCCGCGCTCAGGGACAATGGCTGCGCTTCTGCCCTCGGGGCTGCACCGCCCGGAGCGGCCGCGGGATGCTGCTGCCGTGCTGAGGCCTCCGCACCGCGAGGGGTCAGGGCCGGGGGCGGCTCCCAGCCGAGCGGCAGCGCTGGCATGGACGTGAAGAGCGCCCGGCACGGCCCATAGGGGCTCCTGTCACCACCGCAGGAGAAGGACACTGCATCGTGACTTATGTCTCTTCATAGCACCTCGCATTCCTTCTCCCCTTGCAGAGCTGTGCCTTCACGTTCAGGTTTTCAGTAGTATCTTAGTAGTATCACAGCAGCATCACCAGCTGCAGACAGGCAGGCTCACAGCCAGGAGAGGGCTTAATGTTTTTTTGTTCCCCCTTTTGCATGCTGACGGAAGAGAAGTCTTTACTGATTAATACAGAAAAACACACACACAGATTTGCCATGAAAAACAAAAACAAAAAAAAACAAAACAAAAAAAAAACAACTCACATTTATTTGATTAAACAAAAATAAAATAAACTGCATAGGAACATTTTAAAGTCCAGAGAGACACTGACTTTGTTTTAAGGCTGCCAGTAGCTGATACATCATCTCCTTGCTACATCCTTCAGCCTTCCCTATGGACCACAGAGATACATTCAGAAGCCTCCATTAACACAAAAAGTTCTAACGTTTTGCTCACTTATCCTACGTAAAAGTTTGCACATAACCTGTCACGCTTTCCTTCCCGCAGTACTCAACAGCCCCACATCTCAAACGTCACCTTTTGTCCAAGCAGAAATGCGATGCCCTGTTTGGAGCACAGAGGTTCTTGTCACAGCCTGTTTCATTATCCATTAGATATAAAAGCTCTGAGCAGCTCATTAAAAGCCGAGCACTGTCTGTCCTGCTGAGACATTCGTATTATTATGAGGAGAGAAGCATGATTAATCACTAAAGTAGAAGGAAAACAACTGCAGCAGAACAGGAAACTACAAACCCAATTGTCTCAAGATGCCCGACATCCAAAGGCTGACAAAACCATTCCGGATCTTGACAGAAGCCTGCATCGAGGCAACATGTTACACAGCAGTAATGAACTTTTCTAAGATGGGGCCGTACTCTGCAGCCAATTAAAGGAGAGAAAACGCGATTTGTCACACACGAGCCTGAAGTGAGCGACCATCTTGTTGCGGGCTTCCCATTTCTACCCAACTAAGGCAGGCGGCACGTGACAGGTGATGCGCAGCACAACAGCTCACATACAGTAAGAACCCCCCACCAACGCCGCTGACTAACCACACCTTACAACCTAGGTAAAAACTTTTCAGTCGGTTTAGAAAAGAAACTAAAAACAAAACCCAGAAACAGACATCTCTGCCTCGGAAGGAAAAACTACTACGTTGTCTGAAAAGGACTCTACAAACCTATAAAAGGACTCTTCTTTTCAATCTAGTCTGGTAGCTCAAAAGGAAGTTACTCAACTACGGCACTACACAGACACTTAACATTCAGTCAGAAAGGCTCTATGAGAAGAGCTTAAAAAATTATCGACCTGAGTTTGTAAGTTGATACAATCATTAATAGAAGGTCTAAGACCATGCAGGTACACAAAGCATTTTTAGAACCATTATTGGTTAAACAATGATGGAAAAGATGCCACTCTGGCTTGCCAACCCGTAAGATCACTTAGAGACATCAATGTACGTTTTCCACCATAACATTTACCAAACCCAACACAGCTCATCAATATTAGGGAGTTTCTGTACCCGCTTCCATCAACCCCACACGTGAGCAGGGGAAATAAAAGAGATCTTCCAATACAGTGATCTGAAAATGTGCTTCTGCAACTTCACTCCACAGGTAAAGCAAGGGGAATGCTGCACGTCACTATTAAAGTTGCGTAAAAACCCAACATTCTGGTTTTCAACTGCCTCTCCTGACAATATCTGAACTTAAATCGCCCTCCAGGAATAGGAACTTGGTTGCTTTGTCATGGTGGAAAAAATCCCATTGTGTCAAGAAAGCTACTTCTATGATCACCAAGTCTAACACAAATCAGTACATATTCCCTTCAAGCGTTCGGTATAGCATTGCATTTGCAGCAATTGTAACATCAGTCTTTCCAAACAGGAACGGGACAACTTGGAGGTGTGCATAAGAGTTTTCTCTTGTAGAGAGAAGACCTAAAGGTCTTAAAGACGTAACAACACTGCAAGTGGACAAGGAGTATGTCAGCCAGTAGTGTCATAATACTGAACAGTCTACATCTCCATACTTAGTAGTGAAAATGGAACAAACTCAAGTGTTTCAGGTATCTCAGTCCTGTTTGCCAGAATATACGAACCTTTGGTTTCATTTACAGATTCTCTAGCAAGGGCAGCTTATTATTTCCAGGGGCGGGTAGAAAAACGCCACCAGAAACAAGAAGTCTTCATATTGTATGCACTATCTGTTTCGATTAAATGCCTGTCCAAAAGGCAGGATGAATTCTTTGCCAAGGCCGATTTCTCAGCTATTTCTCAAACCTGTCTGATGCTATAACTGAGGTAGATGATTAACTTCTGCAAAGCGAGGTAGAACTTCAAGAAAAAGATAGTGGCATCTCTCGTTGTGCATTTTGTACCACGTCGGACTGGGTTTCAAACTCCCAAGAACTTGAAAACCAAAAGGTACAATATTTGCCTAACACAAGTACCAGTGTTCATTTTTATACAGTTCCAAACTGTGTCTAAATATCTCTATTTTTAAATACCTCTTACCTTTTGGCACCGTTTGGCTTACACTCCTTTAAAAAAAAACAAAAACAAAACACTTTGGCACAATTTCTTTTAAACCGGAAACAAAGCTAATTTTATGATCAAAGATATGGCCTGATAAGGCTATCAACCTGCACTCTTCAGAAATGATTTTGGTTTCACTGTAACAAAACAGACCGGGCCCATCTTCCTGCAGTTCCAAGAGAACGCTACACCCAAGCGCCTTGCTTTCTTCCCTCACCTTAGTTATGTCTGGCCCCAATACACATCAGTTTTTCAGGCACTGTCCTCCTTTGCTCGCTTTCTTTATAGTTATGGGCTTCCTTTAAGCTACTTAAAAGGTACTACACAAAAGGAGTGAGCTATCTGAAGGACCTGCATTATCAAGTATTGTATCTGCTTCAGCTCAGTGCTGAAGTTCCTGCTTAACTGCAAAGGAACAAGATTGCTTCACAGGCTGACCCTGGAGCAGCCATACTGACTGCTGATAACATTGTCAAGCAAGTTTACTGAGAGCCACCGGTTTAACCTGGCAAGGTGGAATTTCTTTGGGAGTTCTAGTCAACAGGTCTACCCACATCTCTCCTTTGCCAATGCTAGAGCTAAGAGAAAGAGGCACCTCGGCCTTCTCCACGCCACCTCCGCTGGTTCACATTACTCCGAACACTTTGGCTTGTTTGGTTTGCAATGCAGCATCAAAGCCTTGCTTTCTTTTTTTCTCCCCACACACTTTCACCATGTATGCTATGATACTGGGGCATCAATCTTAGAACACGCACAGCCCAACAACACTCACGGAAAAAAAAAGCAAGGTTTGAGTCGCGTTAATTAATTATATATTACTTTTTAAAAGCTCCTATGGGGCATCCGCTGTTAGCATTGAACTTGTATATTATTGTTGCTTATTTTCATTGCATATAAAACACTCCAT